AAGGTCCCTTCCAACCCAAACCAGGCTGTAACTGTTTTATGGTCCCAGCAGCACCCTTCTCGCCCTTGACCTGAGACGGGGCTGTCCTCATCTGCCACCATCACCTGGAAAAAGCACACATTCTAATGATTTCCACATCTGCTGAGGGGTTTCATAACAGAACCCCTCAAACCCAAACATCTGCCCACTGTTCCCCAAGAGGCAAAGGCTCACAGATGCCTGAGGACTCCCACAATGTCTCACCCATCCTGGTTCTCCCTACAGTGGCTGGGGAGGCGAAAATAATCTGTTGCCTTGGCTTTTTGTAAGGAGAAAGGTTTGCAACCTGGGCACTAAAGCAATGAAAACCAACAAGTCAGCAGCAAGTGGGAGCCCCTGTTTTTAAGAAAAGGGCATGGGGAGAAAGAAAAAGGCAATAAACTCCCTAAGACAAAATAAATGCTGAACATTTAGATTTCTGTCTTAATATTTTAAGTCTTTTTTTCCTACAGTGAGAGCTGAGGAAGAGCAACATTCTGTTGATTTAGTTAAAAAGAATTATGTTTATGGCAACCTCAAACATGAAGGTAAACTTGCCTTTTTTTTTTTAATGTGTATATATATATTTAAGTCTTACTGGGCTTTTAAAAATGGAGTACAGTGGGCATTATGTAGACACAGCTACACATAGAAGTGACACTAAACACAATGCTGGAGACTCCAGAATACAATTCTGGCCGTATATGGGTTTAGAAACACGTTTGTCCCACGGTGTTACTATAAGCTCTTATGAAAATTTAGCATCTCAGTGAGGGTCCCACTCAGCAACAGACTCGAAATCGGATGCTTTTTTGCCACACCAATATGCTTCGGGTGGGACTCGAGCATCTCCTACACACAGTCAGCACCAACCACACAATGGACAGTTCCATGATGTTATTAAGAGTAAATGGAGATGAAAGATTAATCTGACACTTTCCAAGCCCAAAACTGAAAAGTAAACCTTGCATTACATTAAATATGTATGAAATGAGTATTTTCATTGAGCAGAAGCATTTCACATCAGTTACCTTCCTCTCGTATTGCAGTTAGCGTCTATGTTAAGGTGTTTAAAAACAGCCCATTTCTTCTATGTATGGATTTGGCTCATTCTCAAGAAGAACTAATAGATCCCGACTATTTGTGGATTGGTCCAGATGGAAGAAACTTAGAAGGTCAGTCACCTTATTCAGGCTACAAAGGGTTTCCCCTCAGCCTGCCTTAGCCGTTCCCCCCCCCCAGTCACTAACAAAATAAGCTTATTACAGAAACCTCACAAACTTAGAGACTACCTTGAGGGGTGGGAAGACAATCAGGAAAATATGCTGCGATAGGGAAATGGTTTCTGTTTACAAGGGAAAAAGTCAGCCACAAATGGCTAAGGAGGTTACTGTAAATGAAATCACACATTTTCCTTGTTTCTACCATCCTGCAGTAGGATGGTGGGTCCAAATAGTCACTTGGTCCTACGTCAATTTTTTCCATAAGCTCTGACATTAGATTGTGTTTCTTTTCTCCCTCTAAGATTTCCTGATGCTTGAGACAGAAGGAAACTTGCAATCAGTCCTAAAGGTCATCAATTTTAGTTGCCTCAGACTGACATGAATCGGTGTCATTGTGTACAAGAGCAAGGTTTCATCTTCAAATGTTCTAAATGAGCAGAGCATCAGAAACCAAACATTTCCAGTAATCAAGTATTTCTTGTTTCTGTTCTAGGGCATTTGCATGTGAATCTTAAGGAAACAGGAAAGCTGATGTTGCTGGGGTTTAAGGAGTACATGTCTGGAGCCTACACTTGCACTCTTTCTCACAAAATGATAGAAACTACGACACAGGAGGAAAGAGAAACGTTTGAGACATATAAATTCATGGTGTATGGTAAGCTGGGTAGCTCCTTAGTCAACTCGTGCACGCAGCCTTTGTGGTTTGGTGGGTTTGTGAAGTGCATGTTTATGGCAAGGCTTGATATAAAAAAAATAACGAGTTGATATCTCAGAATAGAAAAATCTCTATTTTTTGTATTTATACACACTTGGCCCTTCCCTCAGCTTTGGGAAAAGGTTTAAATAACTGCTACCAAGAATAAAAGTAATCTCTACCCTTGGTAAGAACCAAGTGAACTGCAACAACTCCAGCCAAATCCAAGCTCTGAGAAGGAAGCTCATGTCCAAGTGCAGTCTCCCACATCAGAGGCTGCCAAACCAAACGAAGGCCATTCCACCGCTTGTTACCACTGTTCACAATATCACCTCCCCCCACTAAGTAACATCCAAAACTGTCTGAGAAACACTTTTAAAACAACTTTACAAAACATTCCATCCTCCATCAGAATTGCAGAGGATGTTTGTGCACAATCCAACCCATTTCAGCTTGACAGCTTTGCAGACATACTTGTTCCACGCTATTTCCATGACAGAGGGTTGGAACTAGATGATCTTTAAGATCCTTTCCAACCCAAACCATTCTATGATTTCATTAATTGCCCCCTTTTTTGTTTTAATACCTGGGAGCAGAGCCTTATACCACAAGCACAGGAATCCCTGTACATTTCAAACTCAGATGTCTCTTACTCTGAGTCAGCTCTGGCAAGGCCAGATTTATTCTGTTGTGGTTAATGAGTAAGTCTTATTTATTTGTTTGCTTTTGAATAAGAGCCCGTGTTTCAAAGTACACTGATACAGACGATAAGGTTCTATTGAAGCCTCACTTTGTAACCACACACAGACTCTCTGCTCACAGCATACAGGGAAGCTGACCACGCGTACCAGGTCTTCGTTCGCTTTACTACCAGGGAGTGTGAGCTACCAGCCAACGGCCACTTCTTTGAGGAGCTCTTGAAAATCTTAACTAACATCATCTCGGATCTGACGTGTAACATCACAGAGTCCTCCTACAAATGCCATTCTGTCATGATACCCAAGCGAGGCCTCCTGCACGAACTGTTTGTTAGTTTTCAAGGTAACAGGTTTCAGTGTTTGGGAGAGATCACCCCAGAGTGCAATAAACACCACCTGAAATGCATCATAATCGAGCAAGTCTGAGAGCTCTTTCCCCCCTTGCTTTTGGAGTCCCTGTATTTTTTCTTACTAGCCCACAGATGGAGCTAAAATGCAGTTTATACATTGAATTTGTAGCACCATCCTTCCTATAACCTAAACGAGAAATGTTCATTTCAAGGCAGGCACTTGGAAAGGCTTCTTGAAAGATGATGATAAGATGCCATGATTTTTTTCCTTGTAAAAGGAAAATGGTCATGAACCTAAAGATACCCGCTTGAGGTATTTGAGTTCCTTGCGATAGATTCTTCAACACATTTAACTCTGTCTTTTCCCCCCACCCATAGTCAACTCTTTTGCACCAGGATGGGAGGAAGTTTGCAGACAGCTTCCCTACGACTGTCAAGATGCAACAAACATGAGAGTTCAAGAGGTTTGTGTCAGCCACCCTTGTGTCTTTGTGTGTTTAACTGATTTCACTGGTGGTTATCCAGCTTCACCCACGGTTTATGGGATTAATATTATTGTAAATGACAATTCACAGGTTTCAAATCATTCAGATCAGGGTGAAAAATTGGTTTTAAAAATCAAATTGATCCAAATAGTTTAAAAATAAGAAGTCAGGCTCATGATGTCCTTTATATTTACTGCCAAGAATAAGGAATTAGAAGAATTAGTATTTATATTAGTATACTGAACTTCCAGGTCTCTAAACTGAATCTTTGATTTATAATTTGATAAACAGAACACAGTTTAAAGTAAGTCTAACGTAGCTGACTTCTAAAACCTGTTCTCCTGCTTTTTAATGTTAAAACACATCATCAGATTACACACTGGGTCTGATCCCAGGTCCTCTGAAGCCAGAGGAAGATTCCCAGTTAACACGATGGGTCAGTGCATGTGGGAATCAGGATGATAAAGTATTAAGTGATGTTATTAAATCAATAACAAATACCTGGCTAATCTTTTATTCCCCCAATGTTTCTGGATTTTAGGCAAGAGACCGAATTGAGGAGTTTTTCAAGAAGCAGACGTATGTTTTGAAGCACGAGTTCCAAACTGCCCCTACAATACACTACGTGGAGAACAGCTTCTCAGTTACTTACATTGACAGCTGCCAACCAGGCTTTGGGAAGAACAATGTCACCCACCAGAGCTGTGCCAGCTGCTGTGGTAAATATGCAATACAGGGGTTTTGTACATGGCTTTATGAGCTCAGGTCACAGGTTTCTCTGAAGTGTTTGGTAAATATCACTGTGGGAAGCACTATTTCCATTCATCTTCTGTAAAGACATTCCCATTGAAGGTTTTGGGAAGAGAAGAACAGAAAAGCATTTGTTAGAGTGTTTACAGGTGTGAAACTGTATTTCCAAGTGAAGTGGAAGTGGTGAGGTGGGGTTTGAATTGCAGGTCACTGGTGAGTGACTATGCTCAGGGTATAAAGCAAATAACCAATGACTTTAATGGCCAAGGTGCTAGAAAACACCCAGCTCTTTTTAAAAGATCCTTTGCCAGCAGCACCCACTCCTAGTTCTGGGTTAGTGAGAGGCAGGCTCAGGGAGCTTGGGAAAGATGAGGGTCCCTTTGGAGCACTGGGAAGCATGTGATGGTGTCTGATGGTCACAGCCAAAGCAGAGGAGAGCTGCCTGACGTGCTGCCTGTGTTCTCTTCACAGTGGTCTGTGAGCCTGGAACTTACAGTCCCAACAACGACGTGACCTGCCAGGTTTGTCCAGACCCTCAAGTCAGGATGTACGGAGCAAGATTTTGCTGATAAACTGACAGCAGAAAGTGGAAAACCAAAGAGCAGCTGTGGAGAATTTGGTTTATGGTGTTCTTTTCATTTTTAGCTGCCAGTTCTGGAATCCCACGTTGCTTTTTGAACGGCTGCAAAACTTCATTCGTCCACCTCTATGTTTTCTGTATTCAGGGACCACGTGGACTGTAAAAGTGATGCAGGAGCTGGAGCGTTCATGCACAGTAAAGGAATTCAATGAAAACAAAAAGGAAGTTTGTCACGTGGCTGTTAGTGCCAAGAGTGTGTTTCTTGGTGGTGATACCAGACACACTGCAGCTCGCTCAGAGCATATGAAGGAGATGGAAACAACTAAGGAAGAGATGGCAGATGGTTGTAGCGGAATTCTGTGCCATGAGGACACACACCAAAGCCTCTATGAGCAATTTCTAGCAGATTTTAGAAGCAGTATTTAATCTTTGTGATGTAGAAACATTAGATGTTCTCCACAAACGCCCTTTGTTTTTCACTGTTCCTTTCTCTGTGTCTGAAGCGCACTTGTGAACACCAAGTGGCTCAGGGCCTTCCCTGCTGCTCTGCAGTGGGAGCAGGGAAAGCAAAATCAGAGCTCCGAGACAAGAGAGAGGGTAAATAAATTCCACAGCCCACAGGAGAGTGAAGGACCCAGCTTTCCTGGTTCTCTTCTCGCCTTGCTGCAGGTCTGTCCTGCAGGGAGCCTGCAGAACTGCCTCATGCTGCTTGCTGCGTTTGCTGCTCCCTCTTCCCCTTCAGCTGCACCAAATCCTCATGGCAGAGCTCTGCTGGCCCCAGGTGCTGTACGAGCAGATGATCCTCTTACACCAGCTGGAAATTCCATCAAGTTCACCGGATGATAGGATTTGCCAAAGCACTGAGATAATGGGAAAGTTTCCTTCCCAGAAAAGCCTGACTCCGGTGTCGTTTTGAAGGCTAACTGCTGGATCTGCAGCAATCGATCATCTTGCTCATAAAGCACTGTTAGTAAAGAGTGTGTTACTACTATCAGGAGCTTCACCAGTAACCCTGACTGCCATGGTCAGAGCACAGGCTGCGTGAGGCTTCCGAACTGGAGCTTTTAGAACTTGATTTTAAGCTTTCTAAGCCATTCCCTGCCAGGAGCTGCTCCCTTCCAGACTCACTTTGTCCAGGCACACCAGAGAACTGTCCCTTGTGAAGCACAGCCCCCCAGCATGGTCCTTTTGAAGCCACTTGTGTGACAGTGGCATAGCCCCCCCCCAAATCCAAGCAAAGGGAACACTGCCCCACTGCCTGCACAGACTCAGCTATGGAAAACCAAGCCCAGCTTCCCAGCACAGAGCCATTCCTGTCTTTTTTTTGCAGTATGTAGGACTAAATCAAGCAAAAGAGCACCTCCTACTCAATAACTGCAACTTCTTGTGGCATCTAGAAATGCCTTGGTGGGTATTCATCCAAAAATCGACCAGATTCAACCCGGTTTAACTTATCCACTTTGACAGGAACACAGCAGGAGACGGAGCGGGCACAGACCACGCTCAGAGCTTTTCAGAATCATTACTTATTAAGTACTGATGAATAAAGTGTACTCTAACGAGCATTTAAACTGCCTGTAGGCTGATTATCTTCACTGCCAACTGGACACTGCGTGCAGCTCAGGCTTATACAGATTAAGCAGACGGGCTCGGTTGCTGCCTGCATCCCTCAGCCTGTTTCACAACAGAGGAATGCCACATACATAAATTATGGGGGGAAAAAAAGCAGTGAGGAGTTACTAAGTGCAATGGCAACGAGTCACGAACACTTACTCCCTCCTCCTAAAAACTGGAGGTACAGGAAGCTCTTGCAGTGCCTCAACTTCTTCCGTGGGCCTTAAAAGTAGAAAAATAGGTCAAATATTGCAGTTTTGCTTTGCGGAGGAGTTTGTATCATTAATTCCATGGAGAATCCTGTGAAAATCCGATGCGAAACAGTTTCACTCTGACCTTTCCTGTAGGAAAGTTCTCTCCATGCAGCCTTCGTTGCCTGTGACAGCCCTGAACGCAGCTGAGCCTTGTATTGGTGACACACCATCCCTCACAGCTTGCTCTGTCATCACACTTGAGACTCCACAAATTGCTGCCTTCACCTCACTTTTACTTGTTACGATCCCTCTCTACCTCCCCCAGCTGCAATAATAGCTCAGGGGGAATTGCAAGAGCCTTCCTCACCACTTCAAACCCTCTTTTTCTTGCTCTGCTCTGGTTTTACACACCTTCCTCTTGGAAACCGGGGCTGGAGCTGATGCTCTCAGCACAGGGGGGGAACCACAGTTGTTTCTGCAAGGCTCAGCCCTGCAAAGCCCCACTTTAATCAACCCCAACCAGGCAGCTCTGATCTCACTCTCTGCAAAGGGCAATTACAACACCTCAAGGGTAATGATGAATTCTCCCAAATAACACATTTGGAACTTAAAACTTCCTGCCCCTTCCCCACACAGGCCTCCGGGAACTCAGCCCTTCCCACGGGCCACATCCCAGCAGCACACGAGCGCTTGAGAACATCCAAAAATGACAAGAGAAACCTGCCAACTTGGAAGCTGCAGCCCATTGTTCTCCCACCAGCTCTGCCTTTTCCCAACCTGGAACAAAGCACTTGAGAAACGCTTCACAAACACATGTTAAAGCGCTCACTGCAGAGCCCCTGCGCCAGCCGGTGACACCTCCGCTCCGATGGGGCTCAGAATCCCCCCCAGCATCTCTCTTACCCCACAAGCAGGATGTTGCTCTAAAGTGAAGTCAGCAGGAGTTGACCAGGTCGCAGCACTGCCCAGGACACCAGCGTGACACGCTGCAGCTCGCCTCAAAGCACAAGAGAACAGCCCTGTCCTCAACAGATTATAAAGGAGAGGGCTGCGGAGGAGCTGGCTCAGGTGCCCTGTGATCAGCTCATCTCAGGGCCTCATCACACCTGAGACAAGGAAGTGCTGGTGCAGCCCCAGCTAATCCATCCCCTGGGAATTCCCCTCTGAGCTGCTTTGGTGGGAAGTGGCTTGAAAGTGAAACCTGGCCAAGAGTTGAGGGTGTCATTTGTGTTCCCCAGAGCTGATACCCTGGGCTGGGTGACATGGGGACAACCAGGTCCAGGCCTTGGTGAGGATGCATGTTAGGAGATGAAATCCCACATGTGAGGCGGGAGGAGGGCTGGGACATGAGGTGTGAATGAAGACTGAGCCTGTTCAGGTAGAGTGCTTGGAAAGAAGATGCTCCTTTCCCTCTGAGAGGGGTAGCTCTGCACGTCCCCCTCTTTTATTAACAGGCAAAACCTTGTCTTAAAAGAGCATCAGTCACAGAACTGATGCTGTGTCTCACCAGTGCTCAGCTTGCATGAGGGAAAATGAGGAGGGGAGCGTGTGGCTGGCTGAAACGCTGAGCTCTGAATCACAGGCACGGGAAGAGAGGGGATTTTCAGCTCTTCTTTGGTTTCCTCTTGCTGAAGCCCAGCGACCACATTCGCTGTGCAGCACCATCCCTACAAGGAGCAACATCACCGGATTAATGAGTCCTTTGCATGCAGTGAATAACTGTGATTCGTTGTTGGCAGCAGCGCCACTGGAAATGGATTTGTTTGTGGTGGAAATAAATAAGTCAGGCTGCAGAGCTGAAGGGACGCTGATGAAGTGTGGACCAGCCTTAATCACAGTGTAATTGCTGCCATCAGTCCTAATTACTTATAAATATTTTTATAATGGTGGAAATTAAACAATTAGACATCCTTCCTTCCCTCTTCTAAATCTAATCAGTTAAAAGTTCAGGATGCAGACTGGGGCCATGGTTACTGAACACACTTCTGTCTGTGGCTGACAAAAACCTTGCTTTATCTTGCTTCTAAACCCCACAGCTAAAGCCTCCATCAGCACTGCTGGGAGGATGGGCCCACCAGCATAAAGAGTCAGGATACCCCATGGATACACAGAGCCTGGCATCCCAGGAGCATCATTTGGGAGTTAGGACCAGGCAGCAGAAGAGGCATCACAACCAGTGAGGACCCAGTTCTTAAGCTTGCACCAGTGACACATTTTCCTCCATCCCAGAGAGGAAGAACAGGCCAGTTCATTGCGTGCCTGGTGCGGTGGGCACAGCACCTTGGAAGTCAGTAACGGATTTACCGGGTGCTGGAATGCTGCAGAAGGAGGTCACGCTGCTAATTCTGCCGTTGCTGATCCCAGCAGATAAATCAGGAAAGGAATTGCCCAGAAATGCAGCATTAAAATGGATGATTCTGTCGCCTCGTGTAAGGGAAAGCGCTGACTTTGACACTGAACCCCTCGTACCCACCGACGCCGAGGCAGGAGCTCGCCCACAGCAGCAAGTGCTGCAAGAGTGGGATGAGAAAACCCCCTCCTTGGGATGGAGCCATGCGAGGAGCCTGGCAGGCTGATGGCCCCAGATTCCTCCTGTGCTCAGCCACCTCCTGAGACCCCTCCAACACCCCAGCTTGGCCACAGGCACCTCCTGGAAATATCCCCTAATGCCAGTTTTCTGCTCTTCCCCATTCCCTGTAAGACCTGATTAAATATTAAACATTACCAACAGCTTAAAGCTGAGTCCATCCCCATCCAGGTTCTCTTCCCAAAGCTTATTGCAGGTTTTTATGAGGTTTCTTACATATTTGACTCCCCATCCACCCGGTTCCACAACCAACCGACCTCCCTCATGGCTTCCACCAGAATCCACCTTCCTTCCCCATGCTCATTAGTGGAGGTTGTAAGGAGCCTGGTGCTTTCCATCCTAATCACTCCCTGGGCCCCGGGGCAGGGCTGGCCCCAGGGGGTCAGTGTTATCCAGCCCCATAGGGGGGACCCCGGGGGGAGCCACAGCCCGCCGGGGTGCCACCACCCCCCCCCGGCCCTCCCCAGCTGCTCCCGAGGAGGGTCCCCCCGGAGCGACCCGGAGCAGGGGACAGCAGCCATCTGCTGCGGAGCCTGGGTCTGCGTCTGGAGACAGCGAGTGACAAACGAGGTTAATGTCCCGCGAGCGGGAGCT